CAGTCCACGGAAGCAAATGATTTTCAGTAACCACCAGAAGCTTGCCCTGAAGACAGCGACTGGTGCCCCGCCTTGGTCTGGCACCCCTGCTCACCAGTACCACCATCCCACCACAGCAGATGCTCACCATGTCGTGCTCTGCCACCTGCTGCTGATGCTCGACATATTCCATGCACACCCCCTGGTGGTCAGCGCATGTCATAGCGACTGGTTGTTTGGTTGTTCTCACTGTTTGGTCTATTTGCATATTATAGAGGAAGATAATCATGTTAACTAAAAAACTGCCAAATGAATCTTTCTCATTTCTCAAATTAGCCTATTAAAAGAAATATGGTCTATAATAAAATTTAAAAGAATTTAACAAAGAATATGTGGTATTAAAAATCATTACGCTGGCCAAAACTGGTTTGGCTCAGTGGATAGAGCATCAGCCTGCGGACTGAAAGGTCCCAGATTCGATTCTGATCAAGGGCATGAACCTTGGTTGTGGGCACATCCACAATAGTGGATGTGCAGGAGGCAGATGGTCTATATTTCTCTCTCATCGCTGTTTCTAACTTTCTATCCCTTGCCCTTTCTCTCTATAAAAAATCAATAAAATATATATATATTTAAAATCATTAATCTGGGCATCTAATTGAAAGAAATATTGCTAAGGAGAGCTTGGGTGCTATACATTTTAATCACAAAAACAAAATGTCAACCATCTCAAAGCAAAAAATGACTGACATCTGTAATTGATAAGTTCTTATTTCTAGAATTGTGAGGGTGTTTCCTGACTTCGATTCTCATCAACAACTGAAACAATAGGTGAGAAACAGGACATGGGAATGACAGGAAAGACTGACACATACAGAGAAATATGCTGGAGCCCAGCCAGTGTGGCCCAGTGGTTGAGCATCAACCTATGAACCAGGAGGTCACAGTTTGATTCCTGGTCAGGGCACATGCCCAGGTTGTGGGCTTGATCCCCAGTTTGGGGAATGCAGGAGGCAGCCAATCAATGATTCTCACTCATCATTGATGTTTCTCTCTTTTCCCTTCCTCTCTGAAATCAATAAAAAATATATTTTAAAAGAAGAAAGAAAAAGAAAGAAAGAAAGAAAGAAAGAAAGAAAGAAAGAGAGAAAGAAAGAAAGAAAGAAAGAAAGAAAGAAAGAAAGAAAGAAAGAAAGAAAGAAAGAAAGAAATGTATTGAAGAGTTGGCCAGAGTTGGAGAACTAGCAGCATTTCCTCCCAGTGGCATTAAAATAAGTAAGATAAGCTCATGCTGTATAATTATCTGGAAATGGGATACTTTGTGGATGGGAGAAAACTGGCTCTTTTAAAGACTTAGGACTCTCCTAGGTAAGAAGGGATGATGGTTAACAGAGGCACTGGGAGAACTGGGTCAGAGCTTCCTTTGGGTTTTCACAAAGTTTGGGCCAGTAGAGCTTTTAAACGGATCTATTCACCTTGACCCATATTCATCGGAGACATTAAATACCAGATTAGCTTCCGCAGACGAGCAGCTCTATGATCCTTGGCAGAGACTGGCCTGGGTGGCTAGGTAGGCTTTTACTCTCCCTGCAATGTCCTGTCTCCCAACAGCTTCCCGGAACAAAAGTGCTCTTTCTCTGCCACGTGCAACCTTGCTTACGTGTGATGTGATGAAGCATGCACCCTCACCATGTGGCTCTCTCCTGGTTCCCTGACATGTATGAAGTCCAGCGCACTGAGGGGTGTTACCATGGAGGGGACACACAGACAGAATGCAGCGGAAACCTCGATCACTTGGAGTCATTTTACAGTGGAATCTTCTGTTCTGTGTCTCCATGACAGCCAGAAAACTTGCTCAGAAAGAGATTGGACATGCTAATAAGCACACGCCAAATGCTTCAAAGCAGTATCATCAGTCCTCTCGAGCCTGCTTTTCCTGCTTCTACAGAGCGAGCCCAGTCACCACCTTTCTATTTCAGTCACACTATGGTTCTGTAGGAACCGTCGTTTTCCTTTACTGCGGTTTCCAGGGCCCTAAAATAACCTCCTCATTAGCTTCACTCAAGTTCATTGTTAACATAAATAGGCCAAAATAGGCAGCCACGTGCAGAGCACTGCAAGGGAACATTATCAGCACTGCTCATCTCTTTATGTTCTAAACGGAAATATTCAAGAGTGTGTGTGTGTGGGGGGGAAATCCTTGGTTTTTTAATGATCAAATGAAATATACTGCGTATAATTTTTAATTTGCGGGAAATGAATTAAGATGACTGATAACTTTTAATTCGGTTTAGGCTTGACTCTTTTCTGTCCCATCCAGGTGGCCACTAGCAGAAGCTTGAGTAATGTGGAAAATATGTCTGGTGCAGCTGCTGGCAAAGAAGCAAAATTATACTTCCTCAGAAACAGAATGACAGAGCTCCTGAAAGGAATGCAATGTTGGCTGATCCTGCAAGCAGAGCTGCCACTGGTATGCACCCGCACATCCAACTCCCGGGCCACCACCCACTCTGGACTGCATGGGTGGAAGCTCATAAAAATAGAACAGCTCCATTGTGGGTCAGGTAGTCTTCCTTCTTGTCCCCTCTCCAGGACACGTCCGAGCTTAGGGGTAAGAAATGAGAGCAAGCTCTAAGGAACAGCAACTGGTGCTCGAGGATAAGACGCAGCACTGCCCCTTCACCGGGTCAGGGCAGCTAAGGGGGCTGTCTCAGTAGCTCGGATTGCACAACTACCTTCGCTTCAAACCTTAGCCTCAATGGTAGACTAAAGCCACTAAAATGACGGTTAACTACCAGTGGGATTAGTGATTTTCACAGAGGAATGTAAATACCTTTTCCTAGGGAACCTTGGGACAGCTGACCAATCTACTATCCTGAAAATTGTATCTCAGGCATTGACAAACATTTCCTTCAAAGGGCCAGTGAGCGAGTAGTCATTTGGGCTACATATGGTCTCTGTCGCCACTGTTCAGCTCTGTAAACATAGCTCAAAAGCAGCCGTAGGAAATATGTAAATAAATGAGTATGTCTGTGTCCCAGAAACACTTGACTTATAAAAACAGGCAGTGGGCTGGCTTTGACCCGTGACCATAGTTTCCTGGCTTGCTCTATCTCATGGGTACTCAGATTTTGCCTCAAGAGTGCATGAGAAATGGTCACAACCAGAACCAAACTGTTCTGACAAATGAACATGGGTCGGAAGCCACAAAAACAATGGTTGCTCCCGGTGGGGCCTGAGGGGTTGGGGAAAATATGGTAATTGGGGTGGAACATGAGAAGTTTCTGGGTTACTGGTGATATTCTGCTTCTTAAGGTGGATGTTTGGAACAGTCATTGAGCTCTGTGAGAATTCACTTATAATTGTGTAGATTTCTGCATTTGCTACTTCAATAAGTTTTTTGTTTGTTTGTTTGTTTTTAAGGAAAAAGAACCAAGCTGTTAAGAAGAAATGATTTTTAGCAAAATAAGGTTAAAAAAAAATCCAGATGTTCGACAGAATGTCTGTGGGTTCCCAGCAATGTAGTTAGGACAGAGGTCATTTTGGGGAGTTCTTTTTAAAAAACTGTGGTAAAAACACGTAATGTAAAACTTACCATCTTCACTGTTTTTAAGCGTACAGTTCCAGTGTTGAACAGATGTCTAGAACTTTTTCATCTTGCAAATCTGAAACTCTACACCCATTAAACAACAGCCCTGATATTTGCCTGTCCCCCAGGCCTTGGTGACCACCATTCTACTTTCTGTTTCTATGAATATGACTACTTTTTTCACATTTAAGTGGAAATACATAGCATTTGCCTTTGTGTGACTGGTTTATTTCCTTCCACATGTTCTCCGGGTTCCTCCAGGTTATAGCATGTGGTAGGGTTTCCTTCACTTTTAAAAATATATATATATTTTATTGATTTTTTACAGAGAGGAAGGGAGAGAGATAGAGAGCTAGAAATGTTGATGAGAGAGAAACATCGACCAGCTGCCTCCTGCACACCCCCCACCGGGGATGTGCCCGCAACCAAGGTACATGCCCCTGACCAGAATCGAACCTGGGACCTTTCAGTAGGCAGACCGACGCTCTACCACTGAGCCAAACTGGTTTTGGCAGTTTCCTGCACTTTTAAGGCTGAACAATAACCCTCTGTATGTATCTACCACATTTTGTTTACCCTTTTATGCATTGGTGGACATTTTGAATGTTTCCACCTTTTGCCTACGATAAATAGTGTTGCTATGAACATGGATGTATAAATATATCTCAAGACTCTGCTTTCTATTTCTTTTTGCTATGTCCAGAGGCGAGGTTGCTAGGTCATAGATGCTAGCTTCACTTTTAATTTTTAAGGTGCTTCCATACTGCTTTCCCTAAAAGTTGCATCATTTTACAATTCAGCCAACAATGCAAAAGCGTTGCCATTTCTCTACATCCTCACCAACACATTTTCTTTTTTTTGTGATAGTCGCACAGATCAATTTTTCAGAAGCCATTTTTGAAGGCCTGGCGAGGCTTTATCTGAATTAAACTCTAAATATCAATGGCCTTCAAGAAAAGTTACCTGCTTAAATCCTTACATATTGGAACTTTATATTTATCCTAAGAGACCAGCAACATTTTGATATGACTGTACCTTCCTCGCTGAAAGTGTGTGAACTTGTTGAACATTCCTGACAAGTGAAACGCAAAGCAGATACTAAAAGACTCCTAACGAGAGGAAAAATTTTAAGTTGTATTTTCATACCTTGTTTGAAATGCCACCCATGTATGTGTGTGTGTGTGTGTGTCTCAGAAAGAGCAACAATAGGACTAAAAAAAGAGCAAGTACAAGGTGAATACATAATTTATTTCATTAAGTTGGTCCCACTGCACTGGAAAAACTGGGCATCCTCCCAAAGGGAACAAGTTCTTTAAAGAACTCGCCAAAGCAAGGGCACAAGCAGGAGACAAAGCCCCCGGTGAGAACGGAATGAGTGGAAGTCAAACAGGAAAACTGGGCCCAGGAACTGACACCACAGTTAGCTGCCTACCTTGCTCTTCCAGAAGGACTCGCTCAGCTGAGTTTTCCTCTACTTTTTTCCTGGCTGCTGCTTCTTCCTCTTTTGACCATTGCATGTGATCCCTATAAAAAAATAAATAAATAAAACAACTGTAAAACATGCTTTACGGTTGAAGAAGGTGGGAAAAGGCGGCAGGGGATGCATCTGTCATTCTAGGTTACGCAAAGACAAGTGATATGAACGAATTCCACGTCGACTGAGTGTGTTCTGTGTCAGATGCGCCTTCTGATAAGTGGTGGGACAAGCCTGGGACCTATACAGTTTCTTTGTTTAAAACTGGTCCTGTTGCAACCCCCAGCCACCTTTTGGAAATGATTGCCGAAGTACGTCATGTCCCAGAAGCACTATTATGGCATATGATTATTTAGGTGATGGTGTGGTTCACTGCATTTTACTCTAAGACTAAATTCATTTGCCTTTTTGTTAATTTATGCACAGGGCATTCTTTAATGGTTTTTGAATACTTTTTTTTTTTTTTTACAATACTTGTAAAATACTTTGTGTTTATCCTGTTTTTAAAGTAACTTTAGACTTCTCTTATTAGCTGCCTGAATTTCTATAAATGGGTTCATTTACATTTAAATTATAGACTACTTGTTATAGATATAAAAAAGTCACCTTTCGAAGAATTGGCATTTTCTTGAAGTATTTTTTAGTTTCAAAATGTATTTTCCCAATAGGAGAAGATATTATTTTTTTGCCACAAAAAATGTCTTTCTTGGAATAAAAAGCAGCATCTTTATATAAAAAAGGTGATTTTGTTTTGTTTTTACAAAGTTTGCACTTCTTTTTTTTGCAACTGGTAAAACTTTAGAGAGTGATGTGATTTCTTGGAATAAACCAGTTTGGTTTTTTTTCCCTAAACAATAATGAAATCATATACATAAGAGTTCAAATTCTATATAACTCGAAATGTCCTTATTGAAAATTATTTAAAAAAAATATCATCAACATTAATATCATATGATATTTACAGCTACCTTACTGATATAAATATCAACATTAATATCATATGATATTATAAAATCCCTGAGGTGCATCATTATGGTGACTGATAAACATTAACTGATATAGGTGTATGAAGTTGGGACTGTGGACAGTTTGTACAGGAAACAACAAATAAATCCATTTTGATTGATTCTCTTGAATAATTGCAGATGAAGTTAAGAGCTCAAAATCAGAGGATCTCAAATGTGAGCAGTTTAGTGATGTGTAAGACACAAGGATTAGGGATTACTGGAGGGTAGGAGACCAACTAGAAGCCTGTTGCAGTGATCTAGGAGTAATGAGTCCCGGGAATAAGGTGGTGGCAATGAAAAGCAGAAAGGAGTGGAGAGAGAGACCCTGTGGGAAAAAACAAAGCTGTTAGGTATGTCCTGGAGATTAACGAGATGTTGTGGGGAGTAGAATGAGAAGAGTCAGGGGTGATTTCAAGATCTTAAAACTGAATATGAAGGAAACTGAGGGTATCAATGACAGAATAAGGAGTTGGTTTGGGTAGAATGATGATAAGCTTGGTGCTATTTTTAAGTAATGTGTATGCAATCAGATATGAGAGGGTGCATTCCAGGGAACTGCCTATAAATATACCACGAAAGATGAGAAACAGCAACATTTTGAGGAGGATTAGATCTGGTATACTGAAGTCCCCAGGAAAAGCAAATGATAATGCAAAACTCAGTTTCACAGATGGAACTTTAACCACCATTATTTCAAATAAAGCCTAATTATTTAAAATCCAAATAATCATTAAGCAGCTTTGTCACTTGCTCTCATGAATCAGATTAGAATAGATTTTTGTTTTGTCTTACTTTAATATACGTGAGGAATCACTTTGAGCTGACAACTATACTTTGTATTCTGTACATATAAATATACGGGGTGGGGCAAAAGTAGGCTTACAGTTGTTCACATGAAAATAATACAATAAATAATAATATAAGAATAAACTGTTTTGCATACTCATAACTATAAACCTACTTTTGCCTCCCCCATATATACAGAACATTATTAAAGGCAACAAATAATTTATTAAAAAAAAACAAAACACAGTATTATTGCCCTGGCTGGGTGACTCAGTTGGGTGAAGTGTCATCCTGTACAACAAAAGGTGGCAGGTTTGATTCCCAGCCAGGGCACATACCTAGGTTGTGGGTTTGACGGGAGGCAACCAATTGGTGTTTCTCTGTCACACTGAACTCTCTCTTTCTCTCTCAAATCAATAAAAACATATCCTCTGGCCCAGAAATTCTATTCTTAGGTTTACATCCAAGAGAACTGAAAACATATGTTCTCACAAAAAATATTCATAAACACAAATATTCACGTAGCAGCATTTTAATAATACCCCCAAAGTGGAAACAACTAAAATACCGATCAAATTATGAAAGGATAAATAAATGTATAATATCCAAACAATGGGATGAGAGTATTTCTACTCCAAAACCCACCAAACTATGGGTATACATAACCTAAATGAACCTCAAAAACATTATGCTAAGAAGCCACATGCAAAAGGCCACACGTTGTATGATTCCATTACTATGAAATGCTAAAATATAAAAACAAAAAGTGGATTAGTAATTGCCTGTAACTGGGAATTGTAAAGGACAATGTCTGCAAATTGGCATAAAAAATCCTCTTAGGGTAATGTAAATGCTTTAAAATTGGACTGAGGTAATGGTTATAACTATAAACTTACTGAAAATCACTGAACTGTATACTTAGAAAGGATAAATTACATTGAAAGAAAGAAAGAAACAAACAAAAAACATATCCGCTAGTGAGGAATTAAAAAAAGAGAAAGTATTATTAAGGCTGGGACAGGTCATCTGTAAATTTCTACAACATATAAGAAAGGAAATAGAACAATTCATTTCCCTATGAAGAACCAAGCTCTGAGACAATGAGAGTGTATGTGGTCTTTAGCTTTAAGCATGTTTTAAACTGTTAATTTAACTTGCTTCTTCCTAAGCATTTGATAGGTTTTAGTTGTTTTTTAAATTGCTCTAACTTCCTTACACTGTTCTTTATGTTTCTTCATTTTCTTAACTGCTAAGGGGGTAATATTATACCCTAAGCCACTGCAGTACAGATTTTCCACTGTACAGTTACAGAATCCCCACTGAAACCTATAAAATGTTCCTACTGTATTTATGGGACTTCCTCAAGAACTGCAGCTTTATAGTAGTTCTTTATATTAGAAAAGTCTGATTCACGTATACCCAAACCCAACAGACAGCAATAAGAATCATTCAAGTTTATAAGCAATAAATACAGTTGCAGTAGAATTTAAGCATAGAAACAAATAACTGACAAACAAACGGAAAATAATCAAGTATTTAACAACCAACACTAGCACTACCACTACCAAGGGGGAAAAATGCCTTATACTGTTTGATCTATGAATTATACTACTGGGAATTTATTGTAACAAAGTAATTCAAAATAACAGAGAGGTTCTTAGAGAGAAGTATCTTTAGAGAGAAGGAATGTTTTTTATTCTGCAGACCATTAATATGTTCTTCACTGTTTTCAATGTATGACCTTGCATACACTCCTCTTTACTGTTTCTTTATTCTTTGGTATATATGTCAACTCTTCATCTGATAATAATAAGAATGATGCCTTTTAATTGTAACTTACTACTAAGAGTTTTACATATTTATGTCCTTTAATATTCACAACCTCTCCTGAAGGAATTTGCTCAAATTCACCTACCTTGAAAGGGGTAGAGTCAAAATTTAAATTCAAAATTTTTTTAAAATTCTAAAGCCCATATTTAGCCACTAGATTAACTCTCAGTCCAGTTATAAACTTCTAATAGATATGAACTGGATCTCATATTTACCTATATTGACCCACTTATTCAAACATTTTTATTAGGTGTTTATTAAATAAGGAATATAGCTATGATACAGACATAGCTAAACTCTTCTCTGAAGAAACATATTAATCTAATAATGAAGATAAAATAGATACCTAAGTAACTAAAGTAAGCGTTAGAAAACGGTTACAATGAGATAGCTGATTCTTATGTGTTGCCCATTCACTATGTGTATACATTTTATATTATACCAGAGGCCCGGGGCCCGAAATTCATGCACTTGGAGGGCGGGGCAGATCCCTCAGCATGGCCTGTGCCTTCTCACAGGCCAGAAGCCCATGGCAGCAGGCCTAAGCCATCAGCCAGACATCCTTAGAGCTGCCACAGAGGAGGGAGAGGCTCCCGCCACCACTGCTGAACTCTCCAGCCCTCAGTCCGGCTTCTGGCTGAGCGGCACTCCCCCTGTAGGAGCCAGGGGGCAGCTCCTGTGTTGAGCGTCTGCCCCCTGGTGGTCAGTATGTGTCATAGTGACCAGTTGTTCCACTATTAAGTCAATTTACATATTAGCCTTTTATTATTTAGGATATCTATATCTATATCTATATCTATCTATCTATCTATCTATCTATCTATATAATTTAATCCTCACAGCAATCCTATGAAAATAGATATTATTCCATTTTAAAGATGAAGAAACTAAGGCACAGATAAAGTAACTTCCCAAATTTAGACAGCTAGCCAGACTGTGCTCTCAACATCTAAACTAGTCTCTAATGACAAATGTCATAATGAAGGTAGACAGAGAAAATATTTATCTGTATTAAAGAACTGTGATTGTAACAGGGCGAGAGAAATCAGAGACAAATAAAATGATTAAAGAAAATTCATACTATATAATAAGAAAAAATTCAATTGGAATTCTGGAAACTATTATTTAAATGGGTTATATAATAGAAAGACATTTCACAACATACAGGTCCTGACTTGGATCTACAGAGAATGGCTTAGACCAATATTTTTTAAACTAAAGGTCACAGCTCTTAGTGAATCAAGAAATCAATTTAGTCTGACAATTAAAAAAAGAAAAAAACAGAGTAGAAAAAAATAAAAGGAAACTATCTGGGCATGGGTCACATGGTAAAAATGGACATAAAACTTTTGTTCCTATTTCATAAGCATATTTTATGTATACTGGTCCATGATGTAAGTTTCACTTTTTACTATGGATCAAGCCAA